CAAAAAGGTTACGTAAGCAGAAAAAAGCAGCGTACGTTATTCAATGTGCTTTTGAGACATTTTCTCTTAGTAAACAATTCAAATTTTGATACTTTTCCATCGGTCCAATCTATTGATTAGGTTCAATCTGCAGATTGATAATAATTATTTTTCTCTTACAATTTATTTATTAACACACAGAAAGCGTCTGGGCGTGCTCACAGATCAAAATGAACAGACGGATGAGCAGATATTATCAACTCGTTGAGTATGCTTAATTCAATTCTTTTTCTTCTTAATAATTTACTGTAAGAAACGAAAAGGTACTATTTAGCGTTTGGCGTTGAGACGGAAACGTTCCTCGATCTATGTGCGATTTGCCCCAGGCCCCCGATTTCAAAGGGCCCCCGTGTTTGCCGTGGATCTGTGAGGATAAATGAAACAGGAATAGAATTGCCGTTGCCACATTTTCATTTGTACGGCCGATGATTTTTTGCGAAGAATAGAAAATGACAACATGTGGCTGTTCCCGGTAAAATAATGAGGTAAATCACTTGTCGGCGTAATAAACAAGTAGAAATTGTGCACAACTCTTGTGCAGATCCTCTCTTGAGCGATGACCCCCGCATTCCCCCGTCTCATACCTTCCTTCAGAAGAAGTTGCGGAGGGAAGTTATTGTTTGTAGAAACCAATTCCTTTCAATGAGACCTTTCATTAGAATACCATGAAGAGTAAAACGTGTGTTCACCCCTTTCAGCAAACTTTCGTTGATAAAAAATTTCTAAAACAACATTTTCTTTGAAATTTTTTCTATTTCAAAACAGGGCCTCAAAATTTACTTTGTCCCAGGCCCCTGAAATTGTCTGGGCGGCCCTGCAGTTTAGTCGTTCACGACTCGTCCACATATTAGTATTTATAGTTCAAAATGTAAAAATATCGAAATGAATGGACGAATGGACAGATATTGTAATCTCATAAGGTATACAAAAAGTAAAGCTCTTTCTTCTGCAAGGACTGTAATATGTGGAGTTTACCTACAAACGGAGATTGGAGAGTAATTTCAAAGTATCCATATGAGATTACCATGGCATATACACCCGCAAAAGTAACGTAACGAATTCCCTACATCAGATCGAAAGTTACGGCGTAAACCTAATAATTATCTGGTAAATTATTAAAAAGATGCACTTTAATGCATACAGAAAAGTTTCTCGATCAATGTTCCACTTTTATAACTCTAACACACGACACACACACACACCCTCACCCTCACACACACACACCTCTAACACATTGATGCGATCGGAGTTCAGTCGGTCTATTTCGTGGGAATATCAGCATTGGTGTTGAAAATGTTTACGGAATTTTAAAAAAAATTCAGAAGATTTTTCCGGGTTTATATTGACAAAGGGCATAGATATACCTAGGTGGTACAATTGCTTCGTTTACATTGTTGTTTGGGATTTACCTTTACAATTCGCTCTTCTTCAGTCGAAAATGGAATTTGGAATCTGAAATTGATGACTACGTTTACACCTCTATAATAGCGTATGGTAATTTAAAATATATATACAGTTCATTTTCAGTTTTATGAAAAATATTTTACCCAAAATCCTCCTGAAACCTTCATCTTCATGCCTACTTTCTGTAAGGAAATTTTAGTTTCCATGACAGATGCAGAGCAGATTACGTTTCTTGCCGCTTGTCACTTTACTGGCCGCACCTGTCACTTTATCGGCCGCATCTGTGACATTGCTAAACCACTATCATGACTCCTGTGTCCTATCACTGACAGGTTGACATTAATCAAAAGTTCTATATAAATTGAAATTTTATAATTAAATACGATTTCGGGTAAAACCAATACGCAAAATTAAAAAAAGATTTACCACTTCTTGTAATTATACACGCTGAAAACTTTTCCGATACTTCTCCAATAATACTCATACACAGAATGGCAGACCTAGCTGACGAATAGCGAATAGCGAACCCTTATATTTTTAAAGATTTTTTTAATGTTCTTGGGGCATTTCGAAATTTTTATTACCTTTAAATTTGATATATAAAGAGCGAAGAAATCAATAAGCTATAGATTATTTATTGAGGTCTTACACTTTGCCAGGCACCTTCAAAGTTTGAAGGAATGTATACTGGCCGCAATAAATACATGAACATCCAGTGTACTTTGATCAATTTTGATGAAATTTTCGGGACAACTGTCTTTATTAACGACCTCCTAGCGAGTTCATAATTTTGCGATGTCTGTCCGTATGTCCGTTAGCACAATATCTCGAAAACGAGTGGACCGATTACGATTAAATTTTGCAGGTTGATTATTTATCAAATTTGTATATCAGAGTTCATTTCGTTCGTTTAACAACACCGCGTTCGATTCAATTTGTGAGGCTGCTGAAGGATTTGGCAGTGATGGGTCAATCGTAAGATGGATTCGCGCCATGCTCGGAAGCAGACTCATTCTATCCTCAATCGAGACGTCGGAGATGACCTCATCTATTATTACCGGATGTTCGCAGGGTGGAGTGTTGTCTCCACCGTGAAAGAGCTCATGCAGGGGGCTCTTGAACATGTAGATAGGTGGTGCAGTCGCCATGGCCCCTCTGTTAACCCGGAAAAGACCGAGGTTGTTCCATTTACGAATAGAACGAGAGAGGACCTTGATGGACACAGTCTTCGAGGACGTCAACTAGGTCTTAGGAATAGAATAGAATATTGGGCCACCCTCGCTCCATGTTTTTGACGTTAAATAACGATTACGTGGTGATTACAATAACAAATTGTGTCTGTCAAGTCTCTATTTAAATACGCGATGACATATTGATCGGAGATAAGGAAAGCTTCACTATACATAATTGAAACCAACTTATTAACGTTGCACGAAGGTGCAGTTGTATCATGTGACAAAAAGACTTTGAGTAGGGATGCATCTGCGCTGAGACTCAGGTTAGGTTAAATTATAAAGACGAACACAAAATTCAAAACATAAGTTTGATATTTTTTTTGGAATTGGTGATTAGGATCTCCCGCATTATCAGTCTGCAAATTGATTTGTATAATAATAATTAATGAGTATGTCTCGGTTATGCTCGCACATGAAAATGGACGGACGGACGAGCAGATATTATCACCTCGTTAGATATGCTCAAGATATTTATGTAAGAAATTGAAAGCTTTACTACTTACCGCTCGGCTTGGCGATACCGATGACGTCGATATCGAATAAATTATTAACAAAATGCATTTAAAGATGCATGTAGAAATGTTCTCCGATCAATTTTTCGCTATTTAAAACGGTAATGGTATAATAAGGCAGCAGTTTAGTCGTTCTCCACTCTTCAACGTGTCAGTATTTGTACAGAAAATGTCAACGGAATTTTTTGAAAAATTCAGAAGATATTCAAAATTTTCTGGGCTTGTATTAACAAAAGAGATAGATATAGGTGGGAGAATTGCTTCGTTTACATTTCTACTTGGGATTTATCTATACAGTGCCCTCTACTTCAGTCGAAAATGGAATTTGGAATATGAAATTGATGACTACATTTACGCGGCTCTTATCGCCAATGGTACACTTAAAGGGACAATTAACATTTGAAGTTTATAAAATAGTACATTACATCAAGGTAGAGAAGTCCACTATTATTGCCTGAGCACCAAGATTACATCTCGAGGCGCTCTCTACCGTGGTATATATACTATTTTTTTCACTACTAGCACTTGAAAGTCCTCTAAATTAACATATTATATTGGATAAGAAAGTGAACGGTTGCACAGAATTTTTTTGTTTATTAATTTAACATGTCAATCAAGTACGTTGAAGTACAAGTCAAACAGGGCCGTATTTTGTTCTGTCATTGAGATTTTTCAAAGAGTAATTTCGTTCGAATTTTTTCAAAATGTGATAATTTTAGGTATGTAATTTCTCTGGAAATTGCGAATGGTGGCAATTATTCGTTTTAGAGAACTTGTCTAAACGTTCATTGAGCGAAATTTCGGGTTGTGTTTTCCTAAAAGTGACAGCGTGACAGTTCTCATTATTGACTACTAGTTAATAATAAAAAATTATTAACCACTTTGAACAAATGCCGAGAAAGCCTACTTTACAAGTGGAAAAAGGTTAATAATCATGTCATCAGACGCTAGTAGTGAAAAATAGTATATTGAAAGACAAGTGTTACAATGCGACCTATTGTAATACGACTATCTTGTGGCACGAGTGGCGACGCGAAGCGTAGCCACGAGTGTCCGCAAGATAGGAGTATTACAATAAAGCATTGTAACACGCGTTTTTCATACTATTTTTTCTATTTCGGTGCTTTAATTTAATTAAAAAAATCATTATCAGAAACTATAGGGAACATTAGAACTAACATGTTTTATGTTGGGAACACTTTTTATGCCGTTAAGTTTTAGGTTGGCAGCGTAGTAAGACTGACATTTTGAAGTTCAAACATGGAAGTACCCAACGAAGTACCTACTTGTACTAACTAGTAACTGCCAACTTAAGAGATGAGTTACCAAAAAAAACGACTATAATCACTGTCTTTGTACAACTGTTTTCGGCCGAAAACAGTTGTACAAAATCATCATTGTGACACCGAAATAGAAAAAAATAATTTGTAGCTGTTCCACGTAGTACTATAATGAGAATATACAGATCGAAGTTAGCACATCTCTTGATTTTATTGGAAAATTCTAATAAATTTAAAGTTAACAAAGCTGACGACCTTTGCGCTGAAATCGAATGGGTATGGTATCGAAAATGGTATGTAGCTCATTTTATATACTTGAAACAATATTAAAATGTTCAAGAGCTCCATTACCTTTCCAATTACAATCTTTGGCATAATAATTACTTTATTGCCCTGGTTCTTGGTAATCAAGTACGAAAGTCTTCCTTTTGGTTCGATGCCTACATGGGCGATGAATTACAGTTTCCCGCTGTGTTTAGTGTTGCAAATAACGGTATACATTTTTATGGGTCACGATTACGTAATACATTATGATACAACTGAAGACGCACTTCAAGTACCTAAAACTAGGCGTTCAGGAGTTAATATTAAACGCAAAGGAAGATTTTTGCGCAGATAATGCATTGGAATCATGCTCGGCCTACGATATTCAATGGCCATACCATCAAAAACAATTTAAAAAAATTGTACTGCATTACAATTATGTTATCCAAGTTGCCAAGGTTACCGAATCGGTCTTTAACAAATGTGTATTGGTCAGCTTTATTAATTTATCTATTTTAATTTGCCTTATTTTATTAAATTTGTCAAATGTAAGTAACACAAGGTACACGATTCCACCTCCTCTAATGTAAAACCTTTCAGGTTCCAGCCTTTAGCATTCAATGGTTGAAGCTATGGAGTTATATCGCTGCAGTGTGTGTACTGTTCTTTGCAGACTGCTATTTCACACAGATGGTGATAACTGAAAATGAGACTTTTGCTTATTCTTTTTACGAAATTGATTTCGTCGGTATCTGTTTGACTTTCCAAAAAAGTCTGATTTTGTGCATGGCAAGGGCGCAAAAACCCGTCAAGTTTACTATTGGAAAATTTGCACCTCCCACGGTGGTTGCGATAGTTACCGTAAGTTGTAGATAAGACAAGATATTCTTTTATTTTTATTTTCAGGTACTCAAGGCGTCATATTCTTACTACACGCTGTTACAAAGCCGTCGAAAGCATTAGACACGTAAGTTATTCTTTTCACACGCGTTTATTATTAACGAGCTGCTAGCGAGTTTATAATTTTGCGGTGTCCGTCCGTTAGCACGATATCTCATAAACGAATGGACCGATTACGATGAAATTTTGCAGGTGGATTCTTTATCAAATTTTTAGAACGGAGTTCGTGAATTGGCAATGTAGACCAAAAAATAAAGTAGGCCCTTTTGACATCTCCGTTAGTTATGAACCGAATTGCATAAATTCAATATACGCATAGCTTTAGGCATATAAAACACAATTCCAAAAGTTAACCTAATCGATCAGTATTCACAGTGCTCTTTGCACATCTCGACCATTTACAGACCGAATTGCAAAATTTCTTATTTATGAAGGTATTTAAATTAAATTTGATACAAGCAAAACTAACATCAGGTTTAAAATTTGGTTTTGCACATGCTGTAGCCATACCCAGGAGCTCGTTTGCTATATTTGTTTAATTTATTCTTATGTTAAATCAACACTGATAAAGTATCTAGTAAATTGCAACTAAACAATAACTAAATGGTTTTAAATTGTTTATTTTTCTTTAGCAATCAAGATCAAGAGAGCAAACTCAAGACGTCATCCGTGGGCTATAGAAGTACCTCCATTTTAAAGCGCAAATTAATTCCAGACTGTATGTACAGTACATGGATTAGAACAACTACGAGTTGATGGATGCAGTGCGACTATCAATCGTTGATATCAATATTAGATGGCGAGGAAGCACTGCAATATCAAGTGCTTAGTTGCAATCTTTTATTCTTACTTATTATTAAAGAACTCACAATGTTGCATAGTACAAGCAAAAAGGTCACCCTTCAGTGGCTCATTGACGCACTTTTCCAACTCTCGTGTTTAACTTAGACAGCAGCCTAAAATATTATAATTAGAAATAAGCATGCACGACCTTCTAGAGGTAGTAATCACTAATTTGTGGAACCTTCTGAATGTACTCAAAGCTCACTTATAAAATAAATGAAGTTTAAGATTTTTGTATTATTGTCTTGGGATTTGTGCAATTTCAGAAGAGGATGAACACCTGCCCACAGCACTCGGGTCTCGCGCTTTGACT